CAGAAAATGCTCTTAATAGGACAGAAGGACACTGTTACGCTAAAAGCAGTACCAGAAAAATAGTGACTAATGGAGTAACTGTCAAGGATGGTCAGTTACAGCTGTATCAGTCTCACCTTTCCGTGAATTTCTCAAGAAAACTCCAGCAACCTTCCCACTTTTCTCTGTAAGCAACTCTAATCATCCTAACGTTGGAAATTGCAGTACGTTGCGAAGCGGCGCTGTAGCGCGACGCTGTAGCGCGACGCTGTAGCGCTACGCTGTAGCGCGACGCTGTAGCGCTACAAGTATGAACGCTGCCTTAGCTGCCCGATCGGAATAAGCGCCGTATCCTGAGGAAAGCATCCAACTCTGCAGTGTCGTGTCGGGAAATTAAGTCATCTTCGGAGGTTAATGTCTCGAAGGATACTGTTAGGCGTCTCTTGAAAAACTCCTGAGTTCACCCACAGGAGGAATATGAGTTGGGCACTGTTTCTAACGAAAAACCATCGCGAAAACCTAATTGGCTTTGCTCGAAGATGTTGCCGAACCGATTGGAGTGAGGATAGCTTTTGGCTGCGGTGCCCTACTGCTTGTCTGTGTTGCTTTTTTCAGTTTTTTTTCTCGCGGTCGTGTTTTCTGATGAGAAAAAATTCAACTGCGACGGCTCCGACGAAAACCGATTCCGCTAGACCGTCGAAGCACTCGAGCGTGATTCAGTCGTCACCAAACCGCTCTTTTGCCCTGGCCAGCGAGTAGCCCCGACTAAAACCCAATCGAGGATGTGAGGGGCTTCATGGTGCGTATGATCCATGAGAGTAATGCACAATTCCACAATGTCCGTGAGCTTAAAGGAGGTCTTTCAGGTCATGGCGCGCTTTTTGGAAATGGTTTGTTGCTTGTTGTAGGGGTCCATACAAGGGTCACAAAAATGGGTTTCATTTTTGCTATGCGTTTCTGGGTAGGTCAAAAACTGAGTGAAAAGAATTTGACAGGAATGGGCGGTTTTAACAATGTTAATGGGCTCCGTTCTGCTTGTAACTTCGAGCATGCATAGTTTATGAGGTGTTCGTTAATTAGGCCTCGAAAATAGATTTGAATAAAGCAAAATGTAAGAATCATGTAGTAACACACTTGCCATGCACCAACGCAAGAGTGATGTTTTTGTCAGCGGGCCCTTCACGACCACTGCCGGCGGATCGGATGGCGCAGCGGATAACACGACGGATTCTGGATGGGACGGCAATGCGGGACTTTGTGGATCGGATCCTCCTTGCGGGAAATTTTTTGCATTTTTCAGCTTTCCATTCATTCGCGTTCCTGTGTGTCTGGCAGTGGAAACCAGCCAAGTATATGCCATTTGAAGGCACATTTTCCATGCTGAGACCTTACAAACCAGCTCGGTTGTAGGGAGAAGTTTGTTTTCCGGTCGTTCTCGTCTCGTGCGTTAACCTTCGCCTTTATTGATAGAGAAATCTAACAACATCTCGATACTCTACTACAACGGTAGCAGCTGTTTCAGAACACTAGCTCCGGTCGGATCCAAACAGGTGGTGAGAGCAGTTCAGTCTGTCTCATCACTAACACACTCATTCACCGCGATGCCTGTCATGTATGCCGATGGGCGGCTTGGGGACAAGCTTCTTGTCATTCTTCCCGAAAGGGGAGGTGTCTTTCCACAGTGCGGACATTGGCAGGCACCCAACCTGCTGGTGATGGCTGGGAAGACGCACATCATGACAAAGTCCCAGGTCCCGACTTTCGTCAAGGAGTGTGTGGTTGGGTCAAATTCACCTCCAGTGACTGTTCTCCTTGTCGATAGTTGGGCTGGGTTTACCGACCACGCTAATGTGCTGTCAGAAGTACCTCCAGGGAAGGAGCTCCGTTTGATGACCATCCCTGCAGGGGCAACTTCCCTCTGTCAGCCTCTCGACGTCTACTTCTTCCGCTTGTTTAAGCGATACATCCGACGCATTCACGACCACGTGATACATCATCAGTCGGATTTCGCGTATAGCAGGACAATATTTTGAAGGTGAGATGCCTTTCTCGGGTATGTTAACAAGTTGCCAGCAACTTTTCCGTGTAGGTCATCAGCCAGACGTACCGGCAGTTTTGCGCCCCCAGATTTCGTCCATGTATTGCGTACGCCTGGGTGGCCGCTGGGTATGTCGAAGAGCATCCTGGACCGTTTTCAACACCGACCGACTTCGGTTTCAACGAAGGAGATGTTGTCGTCCCTTGTCAAGATGGCAGTAATTGTTCTTCTCTGGCGTTAGGTGTAGTTGGTGCATGCATATGCTTCACATGTTTTCTTGATCTTTGCCACAGTTGTTGATCTCTATCAATAAAGGGGGAGGGGGTAACGCAAGAGACGAGAACATTCCCGGAAACAAACTTCTCCATACAACCGAGCTGGTTTGTAAGGTCTCAGCAATGAAAATGCGCCTTCAAATGGCATATACTTGGCTTATTTCCACTGCCAGACACAGGACGCGAATGAATGGAAAGCTGAAAAATGCAAAAAATTTCCCGCAAGGAGGATCCGATCCACAAAGTCCCGCATTGCCGTGCCATCCAGAATCCGTCGTGTTATCCGCTGCGCCATCCGATCCGCCGGCAGTGGTCGTGAAGGGCCCGCTGACAAAAACATCACTCTTGCGTTGGTGCATGGCAAGTGTGTTACTACATGATTCTTACATTTTGCTTTATTCAAATCTATTTTCAAGGCCTAATTAACGAGCACCTCATAAACTATGCATGCTCGAAGTTACAAGCAGAACGGAGCCCATTAACATTGTTAAAACCGCCCATTCCTGTCAAATTCTTTTCACTCAGTTTTTGACCTACCCAGAAACGCATAGCAAAAATGAAACCCATTTTTGTGATCCTTGTATGGACCCCTACAACAAGCAACAAACCATTTCCAAAAAGCGCGCCATGACCTGAAAGACCTCCCTTGTTAGGGAGTTAATCATTGGGGCAGTCCGCCGAAAGCCTACTGGTAATCTCTAATCGAACATGGGCAACCGTATTTTCCAACTTAATTGGAGAAATAGAGTTCCAATAGATTACTGGATCAAAATTTATTCATTTTATTGTACGTTGTTTTTCTTCTTCTTCTCCCTAGCGTTAGTCCCGCGCCGTCGCAGGGTCCGCTGTTCTTGTTAGACGTCGCCACTTGTTCCGATCCACATCTTCTGCCGTGGCTTTCACTTCAGTGAGGTCCTTCTTGATGACGTCCCTCCATCTTTTCTTTGGGGCTCCTCGTGGTCGCTTGCCCTCTGCTTCGAATTCCAATGCCTTCCTTATTGGGTGGTCCTCAGGCCTTCTCAGCACGTGCCCATACCATCGCAGTCGCTGCTCTCGTGCCGCTGGTACACTTGTTGTTGGAATATTCGATTTGTTCGGTGGAACTATACTTTTGCTGCGTTGTCAGAACGACCATTTTTGAAAAAATTGACGAAAAAAAATTGTTTTTTCAAGTTAGTGTTTGTTGTTGGCATGCGAATTGGTATTGGTAATTACCACATTTTTTGTATGGGGGCATTTTGGAAAACGTCGTGTAAGACAGGATTTTGTGAGATTCATGGGTGGAACTATGATTATGCTTCGCAGTGTACTGTCCTCATCATTACGGACTGTCGGGCGTGTCAGCCAGTAGGAGTGCGCACACTGTTGAAGCCGTTCTCAGCCTTTTTGTTGAAACGCGTATGCGACAAAAAGTGGTAGAAAACGAGTAATACGAAGGATATAATACAGTAATGTCACTTGCCCGCTTCAACAACTGGTGCAGAACGACTTCGGTACCGCGCCAAACGCAGCCGCACTGACAGCCCCGACAATGATGAGGATTGTGCGTTTAAGAAAGTCCGAGAATGCACAGTACTCTGTTTGTATCAATCCAAGACGTCGTTGTGGACGGCCATCGTATTTCCTGTCAGTGCCCATTCCCCGCCTCTGAGCTTGCATGCCTCTGTCTTCAGGTGTTTAACCAGGTGTTCTTCACAGCGAGAGCCGTGAATAAATCTTTTATCAATCACTGATTGTACTATTGCTTTTCCCTTTTCTGAATGAGCCCTGCGCTCACGACTCCTCCCCTCCTTCGCGGTCAAATGCGACCCCCCTTCCCGTTATATATTCCACAACGACGGTGTGCCCTGAGCAAACATCGTAAGCGCTTCTCATAATCAACAAAACTCAAACGAACGTCATAACGCCGCCTATGCTAATCCCTCTATCTGTTACCGATCATTTTGTATAGGAAAAATGCTCTCAATTACCCGTACCTGTGTTATGCCCGGTTGTAAACACATAAGTCTCTGAACTGAGTATTCAGAAGGTGCAAACCTATGATGCAAGACGGAATCGATCAACTATCCGGTGGAGAGTCTAACTCGTCATCCGTCACGCCATCCGACCTCTGTGGGTGGACTGGGAGCCGCTGCGGGGAATCTGATGCTGTTTCCGGAAGATAGTAGTGGAGAACCTTTATTAATGAATTCATTCTGCGTTGTTTTCCATCTACGGTCACCGAAATACACTTCTCTGTAAGCGATCGGTGCTACAATTAGTAGAGAATGTAATAACGGTGTTTAATAGTCCGCTGAAATAATTTTTACTCATTTTCCTACCCGGAAACGAACAGAAAAACGGTCTGCATTTCTGAGGTCCTGTCTCGAAATCTATGGCATGCGATAACTCGTATTGAAAGAGCGCTTCACGACATGAAAGGCGTCCTGAGATATGGCCCTTTTTTGACCAAATATAGTGAACATTTTCACAAACATTTCTCATATTGTTTAGGGTTCTGTTTCTAAGGAGACTGCCATAGCAACTCACTCAGCGTTATCAGGCTTATCTCCCCAAAAAGAGAAGAGGTAAATGCTCACTTGTTCCTTGACCTTTCAGGTATTTTGTCATTCTCATCCTCCAGGTTACGGGAGCTTTATGAGCGTTTGGATATTGATAACGATGGCACCGTGGATATCAGAGACTTAACTGCAGCACTTAAACATGAGATGCCTCACATCCCCGCCCGACTGGCCCCGGTAATTTTCATGTATTAGGTTGTTGCATAAGTTCTTTCCCCGACTTTTTTGTAAATATCTCAATAGCGAACCAGCCTGAAGATTAGAGGTATGCACCATCACCATCCACTACTCGACGCCAACGCTCAGGCAGCTTGTCGATTCCATCGTCCCAGAAGGACGGGGGCTGGGACCCGAAGAAGGCCACAATGCCGCACAATCACCACTGTGACATGGTTTTGCACTGGTAATTGTGCGGCATTGTAGCCTGCAAATGCAGGGTGGGTGAGTGATAGCTGGTGAAAGAGTATCATGTACACGTCACGCACACGTGATGACGAAATACCAACCTCCATGCAAACGAAATACGGAAGGATCAAAACAGGGGAAAAAACTTATGCAACAACCTAATATATGTCCCATTTTCGCTAATCGGACTTTTTTCAAATCAAAACGGACACTTCAAACCAAATCGGACACACCTCTACAACGGCAGTTGAGAACTAGACCACACTAGGTACTGCTGCAAGCCCCGCCCCAACACCCCGCCCTTTTCCCAGCGCGGTCACGGTTTTCCAGAATGTTTTATGAATTCTGCTCTACTTTTTCTTTTTTTGCTATTTGGCACACACACTTCAACTGACAAGGACTGGCCACAGACAGAGGTATGACTTCGCCCACTTTTCAACTTAGTTACTGCAAGTTTTAAATTTTCGTAACGTTTTCCGGCGTCGTTCTTTTCAAATTCAGTCCTCACAAAACGAATACAGTCACAGCCATGCGTTTATAAACTAGCACGCTATGCTCCGCCCCCTGACCGCGCCCACTTTTCACTGGGAACCAAGTTCCCCTTTTTTCTGTTCTGTGTGACGGAAGAGGCCATAACATACCAGTAGGGACTCTAGCATGTCGATCCGTATTATGGCTTAATGTGATGGTGTATGAATGCATGGCTGTGGGTATATCCATTTTGTGAAGATTAAACGGAGACGTTAAAAAAATTCAGAACTTGCAGTAACATCATTGGAAAGTGGGCGGAGTCATACATGTGTCGGTACCAATCCTTTTCAGTTGAAGTGTGTGTGCCAAATAGCAAAAGTGAAAAAAGTCGAAGAAGCAGAATTCATAAAACATTTTGGAAAACCGTGACCGCGCTGGGAAAAGGGCGGGGATGTTGGGGCGGGGCTTGCAGCAGTACCTAGTGTGGTCTAGCTCTCAGCTGCGCATTGTAGAAGTGTGTCCGACTTGGTTTGAAAAGTGTCTGATAGCGAGGAGAAAATTGTATGTTCAACCTATTCAGTTCTACGAGTTCTATGAGATGCCATATGAAATGTTCGTTATATAGACCCATGTCTGAATAGTATTGTTAAGAAACTAATGGCACGGTTGAGCTCTCGAAACGACGATAAAGTGGATTTTGGAGATTTTGTGAGCTATGTTGTTGAGCAGGAAAAAAAATTAGAAGCCATTTTCCAAGATCTGGATAAGAACAACGATGGTATGTTATTTTTAGGCTTTTTTCTTTTATAGTAGTTTAGTATAGGCCTGTGTGCTCCTAAGATGTGTTTCTCATTTCTGGTATAAGTTCGCTATTGTCGGAAGCACTACGGTTACTTCAGTGTAACAACGGTGTCCAGGAAGGCCGTAAATTAAACTTAAACGCGCAATCCAATGTGTTCAGCAGCTATAATGGCAAAATAGCCTGGTTAAGGTACGGATGAGTAGTGACGTAAATGATTCCCTTGAAGGCATAAGGCAAGACAACTTACTTGATCTGAAATGGTAGCAGGGGTGCGTGGGAGGTCCTACGGACAGAACCGCGTGGTTCCTCAACTCTATTCTGAGTCAGCTGCTTAATTTTGTACCGTCACATCTTGCAAATACCCAGATGTTCCTGAACCACCTTCCAGGGAGTGCGCCTCAATAGCACCTGTGTTATGGAGTCCTTCGACGTGGAAGCTCTTTACACCAACGTAAGTAAGGTCAGACTCATAGCACGCGTAGCAGCAACAGTAGGCTTAGTTCCAAACAGTGATGCAGAGTGTGGGACGTGAACCCTACTGGGGCGTGACAAACAGTAACCCGCACGCGTAGCAGCAACAGTAGAGTCATTTCCAAACAGTGATGCAGAGTGTGGGAAGAGAACACTACTGGGGCGTGACAAACAGTAACCCTAACTGATAAGATCCCATAAAAGGTTATGGAAGGGGGGAGGTAACCAGACTCATAGCACGCGTAGCAGCAACAGTAGGTTAGTTCCAAACAGTGATGCAGAGTGTGGGACGTGAACCCTACTGGGGCGTGACAAACAGTAACCCGCACGCGTAGCAGCAACAGTAGAGTCATTTCCAAACAGTGATGCAGAGTGTGGGACGAGAACACTACTGGGGCGTGACAAACAGTAACCCGCACGCGTAGCAGCAACAGTAGAGTCATTTCCAAACAGTGATGCAGAGTGTGGGAACGAGAACACTACTGGGGCGTGACAAACAGTAACCCGCACGCGTAGCAGCACAGAAGGGTTACTTCCAAACAGTGATGTAGAGTGTGGGACGAGAACACCACTGGGCGTGACATGCAGTGACACTAGTTGATATCCCATAAGAGGTTATACAAGGGGGGGGGGGTAGGCAGACTCATAGCACGTGTAGCAGCAACAGTAGAGTCATTCCCATACAGTGATGCAGAGTGTGGGACGAGAACACTACTGGGGCGTGACAAACAGTAACCCGCACGCGTAGCAGCAACAGTAGAGTCATTTCCAAACATTGATGCAGAGTGTGGGAAGAGAACACTACTGGGGCGTGACAAACAGTAACCCTAACTGATAAGATCCCATAAAAGGTTATGGATGGGGGGAGGTAACCAGACTCATACCACAGGTGGCAGCAACAGCAGTCATTCCCAAACAGTGATGTAGAGTGTGGGACGAGAACACTACTGGGGCGTGACAAACAGTAACCCGCACGCGTAGCAGCAACAGTAGAGTCATTTCCAAACAGTGATGCAGAGTGTGGGAAGAGAACACCACTGGGGCGTGACAAACAGTAACCCTAACTGATAAGATCCCATAAAAGGTTATGGAAGGGGGGAGGTAACCAGACTCATACCACAGGTGGCAGCAACAGCAGTCATTCCCAAACAGTGATGCAGAGTGTGGGACGAGAACACCTACTGGGGCGTGACAAACAGTAACCCGCACGCGTAGCAGCAACAGTAGAGTCATTTCCAAACAGTGATGCAGAGTGTGGGAAGAGAACACTACTGGGGCGTGACAAACAGTAACCCGCACGCGTAGCAGCAACAGTAGAGTCATTTCCAAACATTGATGCAGAGTGTGGGAAGAGAACACTACTGGGGCGTGACAAACAGTAACCCTAACTGATAAGATCCCATAAAAGGTTATGGAAGGGGGAGGTAACCAGACTCTTACCAGAGGTGGCAGCAACAGCAGAGTCATTCCAAACAGTGATGTAGAGTGTGGGACGAGAACACCACTGGGCGTGACATGCAGTGACACTAGTTGATATCCCATAAGAGGTTATACAAGGGGGGAGGGTAGGCAGACTCATAGCACGTGTAGCAGCAACAGTAGAGTCATTCCCAATACAGTGATGCAGAGTGTGGGACGAGAACACTACTGGGGCGTGACAAACAGTAACCCGCACGCGTAGCAGCAACAGTAGAGTCATTTCCAAACAGTGATGCAGAGTGTGGGAAGAGAACACCTACTGGGGCGTGACAAACAGTAACCCTAACTGATAAGATCCCATAAAAGGTTATGGAAGGGGGGAGGTAACCAGACTCATACCACAGGTGGCAGCAACAGCAGTCATTCCCAAACAGTGATGCAGAGTGTGGGACGAGAACACCACTGGGGCGTGACAAACAGTAACCCTAACTGATAAGATCCCATAAAAGGTTATGGAAGGGGGGAGGTAACCAGACTCATACCACAGGTGGCAGCAACAGCAGTCATTCCCAACAGTGATGTAGAGTGTGGGACGAGAACACCTTTGGGGCGTGACAAACAGTAACCCGCACGCGTAGCAGCAACAGTAGAGTCATTTCCAAACACTGATGCAGAGTGTGGGAACGAGAACACCACTGGGGCGTGACAAACAGTAACCCTAACTGATAAGATCCCGTAAAAGTTATGGATGGGGGGAGGTAAAGAGACTCATACCACAGGTGGCAGCAACAGCAGTCATTCCCAAGCAGTGATGTAGTGTGGGACGAGAACACCACTGGGGCGTGACATGCAGTAACCCCTAATAAGATCCCATGAAAGGTTATGGAAGGGGGGAGGTAACAAGACTCATACCACGGGTGGAAGCAACAGTAGGGTTACTTCCAAACACTGATGCAGAGTGTGGGACGAGAACACCTTTGGGGCGTGACAAACAGTAACCCGAACGCGCAGCAGCAACAGTAGGGTTACTTCCAAACACTGATGCAGAGTGAGGGACGAGAATACCACTGGGGCGTGACAAACAG